TCCCGGGCTGCCGCCGCTGCCGCCCCGACTGCGCACCATGACGTCTCCTCCCATAGGCCGCCTGCAAAAATGCGCTGTTTATTCAGGGTCCTGGGCCACCACGGCAGCTGCCGCCCCGACCGCGCACAGCGCCACCTCCGCCCACAGGCTGCCTGCAAAACTGAGCGGCATATTCAGGGTCCGGGGCAGCAGCCGCTGCCGCCCCGATGGCGCAGGCGCCTCCTCCGCCCTAAGGTCCCCTGCATAACAGAGCGATGTATTCAGGGTCCCGGGCCGCCGCCGCCCCGCCCACGCATGACCCCGCCGCCCGCAGGCCGCCTGCAAAGCAGCGCAGCGTATTCAGGTTCCCGGGCCCCGCCGGCTCGCCGCAAAACTGCGCTGCTTATACAGGGCGCGGGGCGGCGGCGCCCCGGAACCTGCGCCGGGGGGCGGCCCTCGCCGCAGCCCCGCGCCGCCCGCGCCGGCTCCATGGGGACCTACCCGGTGGAGCCGGGCAGAGCCCGAGCCGAGCGGCCGCGCTGGGAGCGGTGCTCGGAGGCGGAACACGGCTCTAGGGAAGCCTCAAGTCCTGCATTATACAGTGTCCGGGGTTCGGCCAAGCCCAGTCGCTGTATGGAGCAGCGAGGCCGCAGCCCCGGAACCTGGATGCGAACCCTGGCGCGCCGCCCGGGCGGCCGGGGCGCGAGGATGAAGCGGGCAGAGCCCCGGCCGGACAGGAAGGAGCCCCGAGCTCGGCCACGGCGGTGGGGCGGGACCGGGCGGCTCCCCGGAGGCGGGGCCCAGCACAAAGCGGAGGGAGGGGGCGCGGTAGGGGCGTGGCCCCGTTATGTAAGCGCGGCGGGCGCGGGGGCTGCCGGGAGGCGTAGTCCTCCGGCGCGCCGCCTGCCACACTCGCCTTTCGCCGCCCCGCCCCGCCCTCTCCGCCCTCACAGGCGCGCGGGCGCCGCCGGGAGTTGTAGTGCAGAGGGCGCCCCGCGCCGCGCGTCACCGCCACGCCGGGACTACAGCTCCCGGGAGGCGCCGCGCGCGCAGGCGCAGAGCGCGGCGCCGCTCGCTGGTAAACAGAGCGGCGCGGCGGCGGCGGGCCCGGGTCTCACAAAGGGGCCGCGGGCCGGGCCGGGC